CTTTTGTCCAAGGTGTTGAAAGCACAGTAATGCCTGGGAGAAGAGTTGAGCCTGAAAATTTTCCCAGCCCTTGTTGAAGGGAATTTTCCACTCATTTCTAATGTATTACCTCTTTGCAAAGCAAATATGGTTCCTATCACCATGCAAGGATATTTGGGACAAGAAGTGATGGGAAAACTGTGCACTGAAGAAGTGTTGCCCTTACAGGAGACCAGTTGCAACCACTCCCCCTTATAACTGGAGAAGGGGGCTGAGGGTAGTAATGAGGCTAAAACATCCCAGAGATGTTTTATTGACTATCAATGATCTGTGCTTTTTAATCTCTCCTACTGTAGCATAAATGGCCTAAAATCAAACTAGATCATTTCTCAGGGAAGATCTAGCTCTGAGGGCAGGTCGAGGCAAAGCAATACATGGCTACAATCTGTATTTTAACCAAGTAAATCCTTAATGTAGTCACAAGTTGTTTCCTCTGGCCTCTCAGTTCCCTCTACTGAACAGAGGCCAAAGCAGAAGACCACCTCTCCCAGGCGAAGCTGGGGGCAATATGGGAGCTGCATTTCTCATTCTGTTTTACAGTAGTCGTGTTGTTTGGTTTCTCTCAGTGGACGAGGGACTGAGAATCCCTGTCCTTAACCTTGCAGCTCTCTGGCCCTTTGTGAAAAGATTTGTTCGTTCTGACCAGGTAGACTGCTCCCCCCCCGCCTTTTTTTTTTCCTTCCTCCCTGCAGTCTCTTTGCTGCCAGCTTCTTCATGTTAATGGGTTATAGTAGGAAAAATAAGCAGTGCAACTACTAAATAGCCACTGGGGACTCTAATGGCTATTTTTGATCACACAGATAGTTTAAGAAAAGTAATTGCCGTAATTGGTTTCTCGCTTCTTCTTTTATGATGCAGTTTATTAGCAGCACCCTTTGATTTAAGACATGTTTGTGGTGCTCACTGCTGCTCCTGTATTTACAGCTTCAGGAGCTGGAAACCGTGGGGCTGTCTGGCTCGGTTCTCTGGCCGTATTGCGCTTAAGTGATACTTTTCCAGCTCACGTTGCTGAAGCTGCTTGATACGATGGCACCGAGCATTTCCCAATACTTTGCATTTATATTCATGACGTCTGTTGTCTACCACAGAAAGTCCCTGCAGGTTGTCTGCTTGGGCCAGCTTAGCACCTCCGGCCCTTGGGGTGCTGGGGCTCAGGGGCATTACAAGCATTGCTAAACAGGCGATACAGGAGGTTCAGAGGGATAAGGGCAGGGCCCTGGGCTGGCGCTGGAATGCGATGACGAACGGCTCCTATTAACAGAGTTCAAAAGGGCCCGGGCTGAGCGTCCCAGCCCCTCTGGTACCACACGTACGCAGCATTCCTCCTGTGCGGGACAGCCAGCACCCTTAACTGCGCCTGCGTTCCGCCCCACGCAGCAAATGGCTGCCTCGTTAAATAAACACCTGGCAGCCTTTGTCCAGGCTGTGCTGAATGCGAGAAACATTCTTTCCAGGCTAAAATGCCAGACAACAAAAATGATCCAGCCGGGAAAGATGCATGAGTTTCCACTCTTCCTCTCCTCCCCATTTAAATTGCAAGCAGGGGGAACAACACCCTGCTTGAACCCTGATGGCACCACTTTGCTCGTAAGACAGATTTGTGGTTAAGTACTGTGTGTATAGGTATTTTTCTGCTGTAAAAGAGGACATTATTTTGTCACAGCAAAATCAGATTGCAAGGGGCTATTCCTTTAGATGCTATAGGATTGCTATCTAATTCCGGGGTGTGCCAAAATCACCAGGGCAGAGGCAGATAATGCTGTTTACAATCAGTCACCAAGATGTTATAAAAGGCTCATTAAAATAAGCAGGAGGCAGAACTAGAGAAATCTCTTGGCAGCAAGGCAAATATTTGCCCCTTCAGGCTTTCTGGTGCCAGACAAATAGCATCATACCATGAAGTTACCCCTCTTATCACTATCCTAAAAAGAAGGAAGAATCACAGAGCTGCCAGCAACCTATATGTAGAATAGGCCAACATCACAATGAATTTTGCACTTAAGTGGAAATAATGATTCCAAATCTATAGGAATATCTACAGGCAAATCATGAACACAGCAACTACTAAGAATTCACTATCAACTAAAACCCTGTGTCTATTTTATTCCCAGTATCCTACAGCTTTTTGTTAATAAACAAAAACCCATAGAGCAAAACAAGAAGTCAATTTTCCTTTTGTTTAAATCCCCTCTAGCCAGTGGAGCAATATCAGAGATTAAAACACTGGGTACAAGATTCATCAGCGTACTTTGCTTTTCTTTTTTGTTGGCTGGTTGGTTGGTCAAAGCTGGTTTTATCCCTTTCTTCAAAATGATCCTGTAACTCCTGGCTGTGCCACCTAGAAAGGGAATAGCAGTGTAAAGATAACAGAGTTTTCAGCGTGCATCAACCTTGTTGGTCTCTTGACCTAATCACAGCATTGTTGAGGGTGGAAAGGACCTCTGGAGATCATCTTGTCCTAACCCACCCCTGCTCAAAGCAGTGTAAACCAGAGCAGGTTGTTCAGCACTGTATCCCATCAGATTTTGAGTGGCTTCAAGGATAGAGACTCTCAACAACCTCTCTTGGCAACTTGTTCCAGTGTTTGACCATCCTCACCATAAAAAAGTTTTTTTAAATTTGTTTTTTTCAAGTGTTCAAATGCAATTTCCTGCATTGCGATTTGTGCCCTTGCCTCTTGTCCTGTCACTGGACACTGCTGAGAAGAGTCTGGCTCCATGTTCTTTTCTCTTCTCTCAGATCAGGTATTTACAGATCTTGATAAGTTCCCCTCCCCGACCCTTCTCTTGACCAGACTGAACAGATCCAGCTCTCTCCTCCTACAGAAGATGCTCCAGTCTCTTAATCATCTTCAGGGCTATTTGCATCTTTCCAGTAAGTCCACATCTTTCTTGCACTGAGGAACCCAGAACTAGACACAGTACTCCAGATGTGCCCTCACCAGTAAGGAAGGATCACCCCCTTTGACCTGCTGGCAATGCTTTTCCTAACACAACTCAAGACACTGTTGGCTGCCTTTGCTGCAAGAGGACATTGCTGGCTCATGTTCAACTTGGTGTCTACCAGGACACCCAGGTCTTTTTCTGGAGAGCATGGTGCATGGGGTTGTTCTTCTCTGGGTGCAGGACTTTGCACTTTTTCTTGTTGAACTTTAGGAGGTTCCTGTCAGCCTGTTTCTCCAGACTCTCCACGTCCCTCTGAATGGCGGCACAAGCACCTGGTTTATCAAATACCGGTTTTGTATCATCTGCAAACTTGCTGAGGGCATGCTCTGCCCCATTGTCCTGGCTGTTTATGAAAATGTTAAGCAGTGTTAGTGCCACTACCAGCCCCAGTCATCACTAGTGAGTGGCTTCCAGCTGAACTTCATTCCCCTGTTCATAGCCCTCTGCCTGGCATTTCAGCCAGTTTCCAGATACTGCTTCTGGTGGTTTCCGTTTGCCAACAGGATGGCAAACTTCACTTGACAGTCTGCTAGACATGTTTGACTAAGTCATCAAAATTGGATGGATACTAGATAAAGCCTAGCTTAATACTTTGAGTTAAACAGAGGGTCAAGCTGATTCTGCAAAAATGAAGTTGTCTGAGTTTTTCAGTACTACAAACTATATGGTTCTGGTTTTAGATTTTTGGATGCCTTGTCCCCGTGCAAGTCCCTTAAAGCTGTGTCTACCACTTGAAATAAAGTGGTAGGACAAGCAGTGTGCTTATGGGATCATAACATCAGCACTGCCAATGCCAGACTTTCAGTCCATCTAGACACAAAAAAAGAAAGTAAACAGTAACACTTAAGCCATGTCGAATCTTGAAAGTGCAAACAAAAAAACAAGCCCTGGAGAGTCTGTCTGGTCAGTGAATTCCTTCTGTCTGGAAGTGATGAAATACATGGTGGTTCTTAAGGGTTGTCGTCAAGTAATGGTGGTATGAGGATTTGAATGTGATAGTTAACTGTCAAACCAAAACCATCAATCAACTGTTAAGGTATGAAATGATCCCACTGCTTTTGTCTGGTCTTAGATGTTGCCTGGAATATAACTAGAGTATTTGAAACTTTCTAGCTCAGAAAAACACAAACAGAAAAGATGTCAGTAAGCAGAAAGGTTTGGTCCAAGTTTTTGGAGGCAACATCAACAATAACTTTTTGTCCATGTTTAGTGTCTTCCTGGGTGGCACTGTAGAAAGAGGGAAGATACAGGTATTCTGCTACTGGATCCTGAAGCATTCATATTGTCAGCAGTTTGCATGAATCCTAAATACAAGGTATCAAATGCTCCAGGAAACAAAAGTGAAGGAAGGTATTTGACTTCTTGTTTGGCAGTGTTTGTTTCAAAGGCTACACGGGATGATAGTGTTGACTGTCTCAATCTCTCTTCTTCCTCTGTCCTGTCCCGTAGTTCTGTATCTTTTTCTAGGTATCCATCTACTGGACATTGGCTTCTCTCTCTCTTTCATACTGATACTTTGGGTCTGCAGTGAAAGTTAGTTTTGTGATCTTCATTTCTCACAGTCTTGTAAAATATTATGAAAACCAGTGACGGGTAAAACATCTCCCACCTGTTTGTGATTATGGAGCCAGAACTCATCAAGGGACTTGGGTGACAGTGCCAGATGCCATGGAGCAGCTTACATTTCCATGATACCTTTGGTCTCCTTTGCTCCTCTACAGAAACAGGGACCCCACAGAAATGACAGTGGGCAGGCTAATAAAATGAATTCAAATAATCCAGGCAGCCAAATGCCTTGTTTGTGAGAACAACTTGATTACGTGAGGGATTGTCCTTTAAATATGTTTTCCAGACAGTTTCCTGGGCTAGGATGAGGCAGGAAAATCAGAGAAGGTGGTGTAAGAAGAATGCTGTGCTGAGCAACTTTGTGGATGGGAAGGTGGAAGGTGAAATGCAGCTTATTCCCCCAGGCTCAGAGGCCTGGTGGAAATCTTGTTGGCAGTAATCATGATGAGGCTACATGTGGAGCTGGTGCCACATGGCTATCTGTCTCCTGGGGTTCCTCAGCATTTCTTCCCAGTGGTTCCTCTCTGTGCCCGTGACGTGCAAGCCCAGGCTGCACTTGCCAAGCACGTGGCTCTGCCCAGCACTATCCTGGCTCAGCATTTCCAGCTCCACGCTGGAGGCACGCAGGAGCTCATGAGGCACCTCGAACATGATCATCTCATTCCAGACAGGGTTGATCTTGTGTTTCGCACGTTTGGTCTGCTTCTTCTTCAACTTCAAGGACTGATGTGTCAGTGTCACCTTTACAGAAACATCTGTACAGAGAGTGGAGAGAGACACCATATTAATGAGCGTGCAACAAAATGAATGCAAGAGAATTTTAACTGGTGACATCAGACTGAGAGAGAACATAAGTAACATTGATCTTCATGGGTTTGGTTTTCACTTTTTAGAAATTATTCAAATCTCTTTGGCTTTCTAAGCCAAACACCTATTTTTTTTTCTGCCAAACGCCACCCTTCGCACTTACTTTCTGGATTTACATAATAGCAGAAACAACAGTCTCTGTTTTCTTGCTATTCTACTCACCATTGCCAAGTAGATCTTTCAGCTGCTTGGAGTGGAGGTTTTTAGCTTTAATAATCACCACCAGTAGGCGGTTAGCTGCTGGCAGGTAGCTGATAGAGAGCAGAACCTCCCCATGGCCCGTAGACGGCTCCTGGAAATGGAGACAGGGGAAGAGTTAATTTTTTATACAATCTTGGCCATAACATTAGGAAAACTAAATAGTACCAGGTGAAGGTGGAAGATCATGGACTGACAGAGTAGTCTCCCTGTCTTTGTACAGGAGATCTTTCCAGTTACACTGGATGAGAATAAACCTGGCAAAGATGTCCAAGGGGGCTCTTCCACTCGTAAGGCCCCGGTCACGTGAGTTACTGCTTGCTTTTCCTGATGGAAAGTAACTGCTTCCTAACAGCTACTTTTAATGGAATAGTTAGTCAGAAGAGGAGGATTTGGAGCTGAACTGCGTGCAAGTAGTCAGATACTCCCTTTTTGAGAGATTATCTAGCTGGCCTTTACTTATGTCCCCTACTTCCATTGCTGCTTTTGGTAATTCACCCTTCATTTCAGCTGCTCTTTTTGTGCAGATCCCGCTCCACACTGCCTAGCAGGGGTGTAGGGCTCCCTGGGAAAAAGTAGGAGATGCCCAGGTCTGTGCCACACAGCCAGACCGTGGAGCTGGAATTGAACCTTCCCTGACACCCTTACTTGGTACGGGGAAAACCCAGCCAACCTGACGTCCTCCATGAGCTAGGCGCAGTGCTTTACCCTTCCTTCCTAGCCAGCCTTCCCTCAGGCCTGTGAGCAGCTCTCCCTGCTGCCCCTGAGGGATTTCCTCCAGGGAAAATGCTCGGAACCATCAGGCCTATGCTTCAAGGGGCCACACTTTTTTTTTTCTTTTCTTATTCCTTTTTTCCCATTAGTGGTTGGCCTCTTAGCCTCCTGACCTTGCTCCCCTTCCTTCCCCCTTGCCCTGGACAAGCACCCCCGGAGGGGGAAGCAGAGGGACATAACCACGCTGCCCATGGGAGAGCTGTGCCGCTTCCTCCCCGGGAGCCGGCGGGGAAGGAAGGTAAGCCCACGCCGGTGTGTGCGGAGCTGCCAGCCTGCGGCGAGGGGCAGAAGGGGAGCAGTTACTCTCTCAGTGAGTCGGAGCTTGTGACAGAAATCTGGTTTAGCGTGAGGTTAATGACCCAGAAGAGTCCCAGAAAGCCAATGTCAATTCAATAGACTCCCTTTGGACTCCTTAGTGTGATTTACACGCTTTAGGACAGACAGCCCTTCTCCAGGCCATTTCTGTGCTCTGCACTCTCGCTTCTAAGTGAGCCATAAATATTTCAAATTAAGTTTTCACCCGGTTACTCGCAACAGGCAAGGACAGGCCCCTGTATGCTCTGCGTGAGCTGATTGACTCTCCAGAAAACATGGCTGTCATCGCTGTCTGGTTTGAATGACTTATTTGTCGTGCGCAAATCAGGTGGGAGGCCATTAGCAAGGAAGCCTGAAATTCAATCCCAAATCAGCCCAAGTAAATCTTTTTTTTCATGCACTCAGGTAGCAATGAAGGGCTCATATGCATTTCACTTACATAAATCCTGTCCTAAATCTAATTGGATCTTAAAAAAACCCACACATAAACGCAAACAGAGGCAGATTCAAATGACTGTATGCCCACTACAAAAGAATAGGTGTTTGTACATGGAGGGACAAATACAAATACCATCTCAATAGAAAACCACTGTTCAGGCAAGTCACAGGGCTATAGCTGTTGGCTAGAATTTGGTTCCTGTAGCTCCAGGCACAGATACAGTGGAGATTGGGGCAGGGGGGTAGGGGGTGGCAGGGCTCTGTAAACGTGCGCACATGCACGCACGCACAAATGCTCACATTGTGCACACATGTCACATCTTGGGCGTACGACTTTCCAGCCCCTAATATTCTGATCAAGCTTTTGATCAGCCTGTGTTCACGTGAAACCAAAACCTACAATGGTTGGTCTCTGCTGAAGTTTTGTGTGAAAAGATCAAGGCAGAGGTATTTTTCTTCCTCCCCCTGCCCCCCTTCTGTTTTGTTTTGTTTTTTTCTTTTTTCTATTAAATCCATAACTTGCACTTTGTGCTGAACCTTGCAAATTCACACAACCACCAGAGCTTCAGTCTTCCTTTCTGTGCCATAAGGATAAAAAGCATCAGGGGGTGTGCAGGGCACCGTGAAATCACAAAAGGGAAGGTGCTATGCAAGGACCCACTATCATCACTGTCATTAGCAAAGCACTGGGAGGGAAGGAAGACAAGATAAGGATATCAGTCTGCAATATCTACGCTCAGCGTTGCTCACAGCAGTCCATGAATTCCTGAATACTAATTACATTACCTGGTTAGCTGTAAGCTCCCCTCTGAGCTCCTTCCCTTGCGTGTGGGAGAATTACTGGGAAGGTACGAATGAAATTTCTGCAGCTCTGGCTTTTCAAGGAAATGTCAGACTTTAAACAAAGCCCAGTAACTTTGTTCCTGGATGGATGCTGTCAAAAATAGCTCCTCTTTTTTGATCAGCTCTTCCTCACTCCCTCCCGCTCTGGTTCTTGATGAATGATTCAGGATCTGTATATAAGCTATCTGTGCAATGGTTGGCTTTCTCAGGTCCCAGATGACGCAAATTCAGCTTTCACTGCACATCCTCAGCTCAAACTGGGGCACTGTTCAGCAGTGCTGTTAGTGTTAACCTTGTGCTGCCAGCCTGGAGAAGAAATGAACGCTGCCCTGTTCCTATGCATAGTTGTGAAGCTGGAGCAGAGTAACCAGTATGTCAGGACTCCATCATATCCAGTATGTCAGGACTCCATCAGGGGTATGTGAGTGACAACTGACCATTGCTGTGAACAAGCTGTTCCTTGGGTATTGCTTACAAAGCAGATACTACAGGATGTAGTGTATGTGGGGGTCCACCTATCTCAGTTTAGGAATTTAAAACATTACGTTGGAATAATTTCTTCTGGACATCTCTTCTTACAGCAGCAGATGGGGAACTCATTTCAATTTACAGCTATAAGACAAATATTTAGCCTTCTGCTTGAAGTTTATTAAACTGATTCAGACCACCCATTTGTTTCTGCCACCTCTCTTTCTGACAGAGGTTTTTTAGAGTGGCCAGCCCTGTTAGCATTCAAGTGGCAATCAGACAAATTAGCATTATTGGAAATCAGAAACGTTAACTCTGTACTCTGTGTCTGTGGCCAACTCGGTGGGGAGCCCTCACCCCCGATGGTGGCAGGCAATAATTTATTTCAGCATGCTTAGCAACAATGCTGGTGGTCTTTTGCATTGCTCACCCCGTACCGTGCCAGAGTACAACAGGCACCTGGCTGTAGCGACGTCCTAGGAGCAACAACAGCAGTGCCCTGCTGCCATGTTGTTAAGCGTATTGCTGCTGCTCGAGGAATAAGCTAGCTTATGGCAGAGAAAAGGCTCCTGATGAAATGTGCAAGAAGTTTGTGCACATGAAGCATCCCCCGTACCTATTTCAAGTACTGTTGGAATCCTTCCCTCCATTTTCCCTGTCTGTGCAGCTCTATGGGTAAGGAAGGAAAGGGAGGTTTTGACGTTTGAGAAAACCAACACAATGAGTGATATTTTGACATCTCCCAGAATGAATAGCACTGCTGGATTGGTCCCAGTAAGGGAAGTGGTCTTCAGTCAAACATTTCATTCCCAACAATGTATTTCACTCCTAGCTTAAGGCTCTCTGGGGAGCCACCGTACGCCCTACCCGCACCCAGATCTGTGGAGTCCTTCTGTCTTGCTCTGTAGGCGCTCTCTGCTATTTTACCTCCTGCTGACATGGTCCCACATCAGTAATTCACAGAAATTCACATAACTTTTTCTAGACATAGGCTTTGAATTACACATATCAGTGTCAGATTGTCATGTAACTGAGGGAGGAGAAGTTTTGACACATCTTAACTGCCAGGAACTGTAGATGGAAGGACTGGGTTGATGGGCCCTTCATTACTTTCTTAAATGGTTAGCTGCAGACCAACACAGAGCAGTGCTGAGTGACCTCTGCAGTCACACGTCACCCCTCTAAACCTGGCTCCAAACAAATAAAGCTGCTCACTGACATGCAGGCATCTTGGAAGAGGGATTCTCTTGTCCAAATAATTGGTCATTGGAGTTTCTGGACTACCAACACAGACTGAGTCCATACCTTCTCTGGGGTCTTTAGCCTTTCCCACTGGGCCATCCCAAAGGACTCCTCCATGTTAGCAAGACTCAGTTTGAGTTCCCCCACAATGCTGTGTCTGGAGAACTTGTCGCAGTTTCTCAGGGTGAGAGTCAGTGTCCCCTCTGGCATCTCCTCCTCCACTAATGGGAATCTCAGGACCTCCTCCCAGAGGGTGTGAAGCACCTTCTTCTTCAGCTCTGTCTGGGCCTCGGCAATACCAGACTTGCTCACCAGTGTGCCCAGTATGTAGCAATGGCAGCCAGCATCTTGGTCCCCACTCATTCTGCCATGCATAGCTGGAAAAGAAAGATTGATTGTAAGGACCTCTCACAAAAGACAGCCCTGAAATGTCTGTGGCTAAACTGCTTATTTCACGACAGCCATAAAATAAACCAGCTGCATAGACATTGAGCCCTGCTCCTGCTTGCACAGGGCAGACTAAGCTGTGAGCCCATGCTGTGGTGTTTTCCTTGTGCTGCACAATGTCCTTGTCCTTCTGCCACTGCAGAAGGATTCTCTTAGTGTTTGGGAAAGCAACAACTGAGTTCAAGGAAACATGCTCTGTTGAAAGATGCAGAGCAGCAATGAGATGAGACACAGCATGGCACAGGGATGGGCAGCTTTCATTTACTTTTACCTTGACACACAAAGAAAGCTTCTTACAAAGGTAGGATGGTCAGTTACAGACATCAGAGATGGGAGACACCTCCCTCTTGGCACACATCCACCCCTGCAGGCCAGCGTGGGATAGGCCTAAGGGCTATTACATTCTGCTTGTCTACCTTCTGGTAAATGACTCCTCTCGGAAGCCATCCCACAGCACAAAAGATATGTGTCAAGAGACATCCATCCCTAATTTTATATCCCTTTTATGTTGAAAACCTTAGAGTAAGAATGACATTTCACGCTCCTCTTCAGTGGCATCAACAGAATTGCACTGCCTTCTCCGCAGCAAGAGGAGCATGCCTTCTGCTGAGGGGTCATAAAGCAGTATGGCTTTGAAATCCTTGCTCGCAGCCAGTGCAAGGACAGCTGCTCCTGAGCTTCCAGGTTCCATGGGTCAGAGGCATCTCCTGGTTTCCTGGGGAAGCGGAGCTGGGCAGCAGAGCCAGATCCTGTCCGGGTGGCAGTGTGGTGCTCAGGGAGGAGCACGAGCGCAGGGAAAGCCAGGGTGGCAGCACACAGGCGCGGGTGTCCACCCTGGAGGGAAGCTGTGGGCTTGCTGCTGGCAGGCAGCACACAGCAGTGGCTGCCGTTTAGCACCCTTTCAATTCTCACTTCAGACGGTGTGATTTGATTAGGTTTCCACAGAGATCTGCACTGTGCATGAATTATTCAGTCAGCTTATTTTACTTTCCCAGAGGAACTGACAATGCTCCAGCCCTGAGCAGAGAAGCTGTTATAGTTGTCAGTTCCCACTTCAGAGCGTGACACAGAGCCTGGCTGCCTGGCCAGGCGCAGCCAGGGGGACCTTCCTCAGAGGCCTGCAAGATAAGTCTGGTATCTCCAGCTCAGCCTTTGACTTGACTTGAGGAAGCGGCAGTAGGGAGTGGGTCAAGTTGAAGAATGAAAGTTACAAAGTGGAAGGAGATAGCAACCCCCTTCCCTCTGGAAAGGAGAGGTTTGGGTTTTCCCCAAAAGAAAAAATAAAAAGAAGAGGCTGCTTTGTACTGTGTCTGGGACAGGAGAAGCCCACCCTGATTCCTGGCTTCTGCTTCTGAGCTGTGCAAACAATCGTTCCCAAGCCATGCCCTGCACACTCACTTCAAGCAGTGACATTGCCAGGTATTTCTATTCTGCAAGCCCAGAACCAGTAAAGCATCCAGTGGTCCCGGGGGAACATTTCGATTTTAAGGTGGGAGGGGAACCCTCTGTAAAATCAACAGGCGTCTTGTACCCTCCAGATGGAGAACCACCAATGGAAGATCTCTGCCCCTTACCTTCCAGAAGGGCCACACGCAGCTCGGCTTTTTGTTGATCATAGGCAAGGGAGTAGCGCAGCTCAGGGGCCTGGTTGCAGCCGGCTGCCCGCTCGGGGTTCAGGTGCTCTGTGACGCACACGTCCTTTACTACACCTGGAACTGAAATAACCCCTTTAGCAAGCATGTCTTCACCTTCCAAGGAGAACAGATCCACCCTGTCTTGACTCGACTCTTCTAGATGTCTAACTATTCCTGCACTTTGCATGCAGGAATATAATTTATGTTCCTTCTTCCTCCAACACCGTATCTCCTTTTCGCTCTGTTTTCTCATGCTTCCAGCTCTTTCTACAGCACTTGGACAAGCCTTCTGCTCTCTACCACCTTGTGCTCTAAGATGGTTCACACACTTTCTCTTTCACCTTGCATCTAGGCCAAGGAGCCTGAACTACGCTCATTACTTTTTATATTGTTTTAAATGATTTTTAACTTGCATTGGTGAATTAAATCTTGTGTTCTTTGGAATGAGAACTTGAGTCTGCTTTTGAGCTGTCATGTAACTCTGTGTTAGTTCAGACCTCTCTAAACGTTTTTTTTTTTTTTTTTAATTTTAACAACACACTTGTTGCAATGTAGAAGACATCTATTTTCATAGTGCTTGACCAAGTTGAAGATAATGAGCTGGGGAAGCTGTGAGGCAGTTTCTCCATGTATGATAAACTAAATCGGGGTAGGTTTAGGCTAGATATAAGGAAAAAATTCTTTACAATGAGGGTGGTAAACCACTGGAACAGGTTGCCCAGAGAGGTAGTGGAGGGCCCATCCCTGGAAACATTCAAGGCCAGGTTGGATGGGGCTCTGAGCAACCTGATCTAGTTGGCGGTGTCCCTGCTGACTGCAGGGGGGTTGGACTCGATGACCTCTAGTGGTCCCCTCCAACCCAAAACATTCTATGATTCTATGATTCTATGATTCTATGATTTTGAAGTTAAGTACATATTTCGTACTGAAATAAAGCAAGTTGCAAGACTAAAAGGGAAGCCACAGCTTTTTGTCATCAAAAGGTGTTATCTGCAAGGTCAGTTCCAATTCACACATAAGACAATAGCTGGACCAGCACATTTCCTCCTAAAAATCTCAGCCACAGTCCAGACCAGTTCAGTGTGGTACCGAAAGGAGAATGCAACAATTTTTGCTTTATTTCAGCAACACTTAAGCTATGAAATCAGGCACAGCAGGAAGCAAACTTGCCTGTGCCATCAGCAGTGCAGAGAGGCTCTTACACCAACACACTTCTATAAAACTTTAGCCTACATGCAGCCATCATCCTTCAGCCTCTCCACCTTATAATCTTCTCTCTGGCACCTAACGATGTGGGCTCAGACAGTCTCTTCCTCCAATGCAGCTGCTTCCCATGGTACTTTCTTTTCCATACTCACAAGTCTCAGGATGGAGGGGTCAATGTAGCAATTGTCCTCCCAGAAGGATAAAAATATAATCTCAAGCAATTTTAAAAAACTAAAAAGAGTTCTCTTAAAAAAAATCATGACAGATGGCATTGTGTCTTTGGCAAATTTTCAGGAAGGTTTTATTAATGCGGTAGCTGTAATAGTCAATTATCCTGTTAAAAGACAGCTGTGAAGGTAAAAATCAGTATGGAAGCAACCCAGATTTGCTGCCAGATGTATATAATTAACATTACATTTTCTCTCAGGCTCCAGGAATCTTATGTTCCAGACTTTGGCATGCTACCCTTTGGGCTGGCTGGAAAACAAGAATTCTGTTTGGCAAAAAAGTCTGAGGTGTCAACCTTTGGTTTCACTGCACATTACAACAAGTCACGACCATCTTACCAAAACGGTGGGAAAAAAGCAGCAGAGACAATAAAGTAGAAGCTTGAACCTCTGCTGCCAATGTCCCTGACAAGGACAGTTGCTGGACAGCTAGCATTGTCTTGGAGGAGATACTCTGTCTAGTTTTCACCCATAGTCTGGTGACTGCTCTCAGTAAAACTACACTAAATACATGTTTTTCTACAAAATGCTTGCTTCCAGTGAGCCAGATTCTTCAACACAAAAGATATTTAGATTAAAAAAGAAATTACAACCAGACACAACTACAGCTTTGTTATCTGAATGTCCTGATGAGCTCCATGACTACTTTCCATAAAACACATGCATTGAAGACAGAACTCACTTACAATGCTCATTGTAAGAGAGCTGAAAGTGCCCCATATCTTCATTTTCACATTTCACTCTAACTACAAACACATCATGCTCAGAGGTATTGCAGGTCTATACCCAGAAAAGTAATTGTTAGCCTGAAGACCAAATGCTCCTACCGTTTTGAGGGAGAACAAACAGCTCTTCATTGACTTGTATCTTCATCCTATTCTCATCCAAACCAGTGTGTTTTCCAGTAGCTGGTTCTTCTGTTGTCTTCAGGGAGTACTGTGTGTAGTTAACAATTTCAGGTGAAGTTACTACTGGTTTGGGGCCATAAATGTTGGGAAACTTCAGGAGTGCTCGAGGCTGGACTGGCTCTGCGGTTTTCTTAACGTTGAACTGAAAATTAAAAGCTTGTTTATTACTTTGCACTAATTAGAATAATTATTTCAATTCTCTCAATGTTAAATGAGCTGAGACAAAGGGAGAAAAGACGGTGCCTCTGGTCATTCTTACCATCATTGTTTTTTAGGTTGTAGAAACCACTGACTGTGTGTCCAAAGATTTCCTTGCCAAAGCTGATGTCCTTCTACTTGGTGTATGTCTTTTCGGATTTACTCCTCTACAGATGTTTGGTTGCAACAGGAAAAACATATGTTCTTATTTTTTTATTATTTCTCTGTTCCTGTACCAGTTAATCTTTCTTTCATAAGACTGTGTTTTCTCTTAGCACAGATATCAACCATGGTGTTCATTTTGCTATAACTGAGGTATGATATTTTTTTACCCCGATGTTTGAAGTCAAATCCAAGATCAAGAGGCTATAGCCACCCACAGATTTCAGACCATTTTACGTCAGTGTGTAGCAGGCATTAGAAAGGCAAAGGCCTGGATCACAGAGTCACTTGGAGCAAGTATGGCCATAGTGTAGTAAGACAAAGGAGAACTGGTTGAATAAATGAACCCTGCAATGGCATACGAAGAGTAGTTGATACAGTGGTCATCTCAGCCTCTTGGACTATCTTGGCTCTGTGGACCAGGGCTCCACCTGACCCTCAGAGACACATTTCCCCTTTATTATACCAGGATTGAAATCTGGATTTATGTCTGAGTTTGTTCTTAGCATTTCGATTCCTTGCTGAATCATGAACATGAAATGAGCAGAAGAACCTGAAAGAGGGTGTAATGCTCAGGCTGCCCAAGCAAAGGTTGTCACAAAGGCATTACTGTTCTCCCAAAACAATGAAAAATATTTTAGTGCTCTATAACAGTCTTCTTTTCCTTATGTCCCAAGAAAGGACCCTGTCTGCTCACAACTGAAATAATTCCTGGTTCATTTATATTTGGATTCATCAACAGGAAAGAACAAAAGCTGACTAGCGAATGACCCTGACCTTGCAACAGATTTTATTAATGTTTCCAAAACACAAAAGACAAGAAGCAGAAGTAAAACTGCCATTTTGGTTGATTATTGTGCAGTGGGATTCTCTCCAACCCCACTGCCTGCCAACCTATTCTGTGTTTAGATTGAGGGTGAGCCAGAAAATGTTCATAATTGTAATTAAAGTTTTTCTTTAGTCCCATTGTTTCCTATTAATAATGAATGTAGATGATGCCCTGAAGCACTTGTCTGCGTTGGGACTTTGTGGCCCCAGTTCTCATGTCCTGAGGGAGCATACCTATTCTTCAAGAAATAGAGCTGAAGAACGAGAGCAGTCTCGGACTTTAGCTCTTTACTCATATTCTGCTTATGGAGATCATAGCGCTATGGTTACATGCACTTGGCAGTGGTAAAGAACTAATTAGGTCAGCGACTCCATCTTCTCAAGGCAGCCAGTGCATCAGCATTTAGGAAGTCTGCTACGTAACATAGCATTTTGTCTCGTCTCGTTTTAAAGGCTCTGAAAGTGAAGTGGGTTGTGAAAGACACCACTGTGAGCAGTCCCCACCCGGCATTCAGCTGACTTTAGATATTCCATAAGTTGTACAGTGTGGGTCTGCTAGTGAGATCCCTCTTTTAGAGGATGTGAGCCTCACCGGTCTTAAAATACACAGGAAATTTGAAGTTACTCATCCAAACCTTAAAATGCGGTTTTCCATTCTTCTAAAACTAAAGCAGACCAACCAAGCAAAATATGTTAGGAATCATTAGACAACAGCTTGAAAAACCAGGTCGCTTTTGTTCTGCAAAGGCGTTACTTCTAGCACGCTTGCAGTGCCTGCCACGGTGGGTTGGCCTCTGCTGCTCCTTCTCTACCGAAGCCGCTGTGTACGGCTGCTGTCCTACCACTCACTGACCGTCACACCAGGGCAGTACACTGCTATGCACAAAGCACTTTGGGATCCTTTGGGATGAAAAACACCATACAAATGTGAAGTATTGTTAGTACAATCTTTTCTTCCAGTTGCTAAAAGCCAGACATTTAGTCAGGAAATCCATCAGCACGCAGCAACTAAGAGCTCCACTGGGTCTAAATATTCCTCTTCTCTGTCTGCTCTGCAGAATTAGAGATGAGAGACATATGCAAGCACAGTGGGACTAGCCCACCCCCTCTTCCAACTGCATCTGCCTCTGTTTATTATTTTTGCTGCCAGCTCTGTTCCCAAGTGCTGTCTGCTAATCTAGTTACACAGCAGTGCCCTGTGGAAGTTCCCTTTGCAAATCAACAGCAGTATCTTAAATAAAGGGATGAGCAGAAGAGTTCAGACACTTCTGCATAAAATGTGAGAAACAAAGAAACCAAAAGCAGTAAGAAGGCTGCAATGGACCCTGCTGGGTCCCTGCCCAGTGTCGCTCAAACAATGCGCCAGCTTGTTGCCATTGCTGGACGCGGTTAGGAGTTCTGCATGCTTTGCTGAGACTTTGCAAGTTTACGGCAGTTTTTAATTGTTCTGTAGATGTATCTTTGTGTTTGAACTCTTCCTCTTCCCGTATGCAGGGCATGTCCATGAGGAGCCTCTGTCTATAGCAAATACAAGCATCACTGTCATGGGAGACATGCCAAGTGAATAAAATGCAGTCTTGCTTCATCTTTCTTTTGCCATCTCTGTTTATCACCACCAGTGGCCCTGACAGGCTTCTATAATTGTGTCAAGCACTGACTAGGACATAGAGTGTACTAATGTAGTCAGAAAAAAAGTCCCAACAGGACAATTTATAAACATGGACACAGATGATAAAACTTCACAAGCTCAGAACTCAATTTGAGATTCATTCCTTCAAGGTATATAGACTGATTCTGAATCAGCATAGGAGAATGCATGTCCCTGGCAAGAAAACTATTTTAACTGGAAAGAATTGTTAAACATACGGAATATGCAAACTAAGAACATTTTGCACTTTCTGTGACAGAATGTTCATTCGGCTGCTATAATTTGGCCAGATTTCGTTAAAAAAAACCCCAGTAACATTAGAAACAATACTTCTAATTATAAAGTCTACAATGCTAAAAGAATACAATCACTCAGGTAATAGTGATACACTGAGGGCAGGTTGAATAATTTGATTCCCTGTTGGTCAAATACTGGATTAAGTTATGGCAAAACTTGATGAATGTAGAAATACTGTGAGGACTGTAACCTAATAGCTGCTGAGTACTGGAGGCTTAATTGGACTTCACAGTGACTTAGTGCTTATTTCAGTCATGCTAGCAGGATGACACCCCAGAGGACAAGCTCCAGGATGGATTAACACTTTCCCAAGATGTTTCCCAAAAGGCTGTATAAAAGAAAAATGTCCAGTCCAAGGATGGAGTTAAAGATCTGAGAGGTTTCTGAGCTAGAAGACTACAACAACAAAAAGTCTCTCGTAGGAAGAAACTGATGGTAAAAAGTTATCTGTGAGTAGTGTTGCAGACAACAGCTAGAAATAATGCTATGCGAAGTGATATGACGGTCAAAGTCACATATTTCTCATTTGTTTTAACAGTAAATCTCAGCATGATTGTACATCCTTATATACAGGAGTTGGCAAATGACCTGTATGGGTTAGAAAAGGCAAGAGAGGAGCCTGGAAAGGACATGACAAAACTGTGAAACAGAATAGCAGGTAAAATTCATCCTAGGAAAATGCAAACAGGTACTAGGGGGTATTCACCATGCTCATGGCTCAGAATTAGCAGCAATCTCTTGAGAAGTCCTAGGCTGAGTGCAGATGCTCATCCATGGCCAGTGGAGCCATCCCCCAACCCCCAGCAACCAGAAACTCTGGTAATGCAATTCTGTGTATCTGCACCAGATCTTACAACACAATTAGTAGATCTGGTCATCTTTCCTTCGAACAACAGGAGCATAAGGATGCCAGGGCTCTTTTCTGCTAACAGCCTAAGAGTGTTAGCCAGAGAGAGGCTGAATATGTAATTACAACCATTACAGAGAAGTTCAATTAGGACTCCTGCTACGCTCTTTAAGAATATAAAAATAATAGGCAGCTCAGATAATTAAAAGGCAAACAAAGACTGTTACATGGTGGATTGCTGGCCTGCAGAACAGGCTGCTATGGCATCACGTTTTGGTTGAATGGCTACATGAAAGTGAAAAGGACATTGGCACATACAAACATCAAGAGCAACAGGTAATACTTTCAGAGAGTGACCAGTGCTAAAGACCATAGCCCACCAAGGAAATCAGTCAAACATTTCCCTTTGAAGGCGAGCTTCCCATTAATAAGTATATTGAAAGGGTCCTATAATTCCCCTTCCTCTCTCTTGCACTGACCTCAGGAGTAAACCGGGGTGGGGGGGTTGGATTCTAACAAGAGAGACAGACTACGCAGGGATACCTGGCATTATCCATACTCCACATTGCTCTTATAGTAAGCGAAAAAGCAATTCACAGCATGATGAGATTGTCCAGTCGTCACACTCTAGATTCTCACTTGCATTTTATTATCATTTCATTGCCTTGCTTTAACTTCACACATAATTAATCCCCTCAGAGGGGCAGAGGGAGGAGGAGGGATGGTTTTCACAAGAAATCATCTGTTGACAGGGAACTATCCTGCAGGAACCATAAAATATTGTGAATAGAGTTAGAGATATAGCTGCTATAGGAGATCCCAGTGGGAGTCATCTCCTCTTTACAATGCCGCATGCCACCTGGTAATGTCCAGTCTTCTCTCCTCAGGAAATGATTTCCCTCGTGATCGAGCTTGACAGCTAAGCAGCATTTCCAGTCCTCCTCCCCTATTTTTGCCATTAGCAGCTTTCGTTTTGGCAATGTGGCAGCTGTCTCCTGCTCCAGTAATTCTGTGGGTCACCCAGCCCACCTCTGTTTTTCCCTCCCCCCGACTCCCATTGACATGTTGTTACATCCCGAGCACAGTAAGCAGATAAATAGGCAGCATAAATCACATGCTGAACAGCCTAACAGAGAAGTTACATTCCCACCCCCTGCATTTAAAGAAAAATCACAGAGTAAATTAGAGACTGTGCCTTACTTGCTGGACTGGCTGAAGCACACTGGGCTTAGTATTTTCCGTGTCCTCCTCTTGGTCCTTTTCTGAGAGTCCTTTCCCAGGTTGCTTGCATTTGCAGAAGCAGGTGAGACCGCAGAGGGCAAGGATGCTAGTTGCAGTCCCTAAGGTAGCCCCCAGGGCTATAACTGGGGCAGATAAAACCATTGTCCTGTGCTGCACAGGAACAAAAAAGCACCGAAACCCTCTGGCTCCTTCTCCTCCCTGGCAGAGCAGCTCTCGCACATCCACTCCGATTTCTAGCCTGGCTTCATTCTCCTTGGAAGTCTGAAAACAATTCTCTTGTGCAGCAAAGGAAAGGGACCAATCTAGAGACGGAGATAAATCATCCCACCTTTGCTAGGCAACAAGGCTACCTTTCTATCCTATTGATGGAGTTTCTGCTCCAGGTCAGGTAGAGGAAATAGTGATTGTGGTGCCTGCAATCTCCATATAGCTGCAAACAGGCAGTTTTCATTGAAGCCTGTTCTCCAGCTCCACTGGGAAAAGTCTGATGTGTGATAGAGAGGAAAGACGTCAGCAGAAGGGGCTGGGCCTTGCTAGCTAACTCACAGAAAGTGCATCCAAATGTTTGATCAGCTCTCTAGCAAGATTTCTGAGGGCTAGCTTGTTAATTTGCTCAAGAGGTTGATTTTTTCTATCTTAAGGCAAAGATAGTGTTTGCCAAAAGGTGCTGGCCTGAGAAGCCCTGTTATGATAGCGTTGCACAATAGCACTACAGCCAGAGTAAAGCCTGCATGGAAGTCAGGCAAAAGTTTCTCACACTTCAGAGGCTGGGAAACAAACACATGCAAGAGTTAAGCACTGTCCCACACCTCACCAGCTTCCCCTCAAAGCGCAGGGTCTGAACCTTTTGGAGCTGCTTTCCCTAGCATCCATACAGAACAACACCTCTATTTAGAAAGACAGCAGAAAATCCTATCAAACAGGACACACTGGCGCATATGCTGCTTCCTCTGGAGAGGATGAGAGAGCAAACAACATATGCTAGGGATTAGTCATACTGCTTACTACACCGGTGTTGGGCTGTGGGCTGGTGAGCAGAGCAGAAGAACCTACAGGAATAGACCTGAAGGGCTACATGTCCGTCTCAGTTTTCTCTTGAGGTGACGGAGTGATTAACTTTCTCTGACTCATTTATTTTTGCCTTAGTTCTCAGCCTGCCCAACTTGGGGAAGAGGAGAATAAATGCCATCTTTCCATGTGTTTCTTGTGACATGTGCAACCATTTTCCACGTACTTCACAAGGAGGACCTAGTGGCCAGAAGATGATTATAATTCTGGGTCACTATGTATCTGGGCCAGAGTGGAATTAGCAAGCAAGAAGCAAAATATTCCTTATAAGGCTCTGGAAAAAATACCCAGTTCTACTGGGAGTTTCTTTGTCTTTCTATTTTAGAATACAGTTGATGCCTGTGGATCAGGAAAAAATGAAGTATGTACACAGAAATGTTTAGAAATTCAGGGGGTTTTGATCTTTCTGCAGCTTAGGTTTTGCCATGGATTTTTCTTGACTTTTTTTTTTTTGATGTTCCACATCTTACTCATGACGAGTCACTCAGCTTTTGTTCCATTATAGATGACATGTTCACCTCCCTGGCACAAAGCTTCCCTCACACATCCAGCTCTCGCTTTAATTGTCAAAGATTCCTCTTTAACACTGTAGCATCCTTATGGATTCCATCATCTTGCCTTCTCCTCACCCTACCAGGCTTGTCAGACACACATCTCATCTCGCCCCCCCACTTCCAACCCTCCCAACCCCTCATCAAGAAGACAATCATGATAGACTCCTTAAGTAGAGACAATCCCCCAATACACTGCTGACCCCATGGAAACTGGACTTTCAGCTCAGCCCACAGAAGGAAAAACCTTGAGCTTTGTCTTCTGTCTATAAAAGGACATAAAAGTGGCCACACCAGGCTGGACCACTGGCACATGTCTCGCTGTGCTCAGTAGTGGGAAGAACATCACATAGATGGGATTGAGAAAGCTGACTAAACGCTCCCTTTGCCTCTTGCTCTTCATGGCTCAGGAGCTTCCGAAGCCTTGGATAGCATCCTTGTGCTTGCCTCTGCTGATCTCAACATTCTCTGCCACAGGTAGACTGTTGCAACCAGACTTCCATCACCACTCAAGAGAAGGGTATGAAAGAGAACAAAAAGGATGGACACACTGTTTAGATGCCTTTGGTTTTCTCCACAGGATGGGTTCTTCTTCATGTGCTAGTGAAATCTAACATCTAAACTAGATCAGAGGCCACTGAGATTTGGAAACCATATGTAAAGGAAGAAGGTGCTGTTAAAAGTAGAATACATTGGCAGAGTTTTGGAGTGGAGAAGGCATTCAGTGCATCCCTGAGATGAAATCTTTATATGTTTTCTACAAGCTGTTCTGAGAATTATATAGACTGCTTACAACAGGCTGCGGAGGGAAGGCCATGTCAAAATCTCTCTGCAAGATGATAATTTAACACTATACCTCTCCAAGATGTTTTCTAGCTGCTCATATATGAAGATTAAGTTTTCCTTGCCAGAAATTGTATATGCTGTGAAATGTAAGGTGTGCAGAGTCATCATCACATATCGTATTTTAATAATAATAGACAGGCAGCAGCCTTTTGCTGCTATTGCTAGGAAAACAAAACGGCTCTTGCTAAACATGGAATATTAGTAGTATGTGAGCTTCTGCAAGCGACAGGCCAAAGACTGTGGAATTTTGTGTGTGCACTGATGCATGCAACTGGTACAGATACATAATTTAACTGCAGCTTTGGCACGTACCATCACTGCATCTATCTATCATGGTTGCTTATTTTTAACACGTCCTATTCTAAAAAAAAAATTGGACCACAAATGTATTTCAAAGTCAGCTTTACACTTGCTTGCTTTAACACCCAGTAATTAAATTGCTTCTTTTTCTTTAAAACAGTTGTAGGCTAAAACGGGGCCAGGCTAATGACCTTTCTCACTGGCCATCGACACTGATATTGTCCAGAATCACATAGCTTTTTTATCTGTCACATCTGCCATTGGAAAGAGACTTGCCAAGGCAGAAAGATGAAAGCCTGTTTTTGCAAGCTAAACTTTATGGGCAGGTTCAGGCCTGACAACATATTTTACAGTCACCCTATCCACATATTTTCTCCAGATACTGATACAAGATGTGTAAGAATGACAAAGGCATATACATCGTTTTCAGCTTCTGATACTTCAGACATGAATATTCTGTGATGACAAAATATAAGGCACTGGGCAACCTTTGGTGCTTATAGATCTTTTGTCCCTGCTGTGAGCTTTTCCACTGCTATTTTGTGCCTTTCTGTCCATTGGCTGTATGAAAGATGCTTTCTCTGAATGAAGAATTGGTAGTACAGATCACGTGGAGAATTACAAGAGCTTTTGTATTGCCTGGCTTTAGTTCATGCCCGACCAGCAAAAAAGCCCTTTAATGCAATTGCCAACCACTCGAATAAGCAGGTCAGGGATTTGCAACTTTTATTCTGGCATTAGAAGACACAAATTACAATTCCAGAATCCTTCGCTATCACAAGGAAAAGCCGACACACACCTAAATGAAAGATGGTTGCAGACTACTTTCCCTGACTCAGCCCACTCCGTCAGGGGCTGGTGTTTGTCAGAGATACTCTGATTCTCACTGAGGCATTTCACCAGGCAGAAGCGGGAGTTAACAGGCAGAAAGGGGAAAGAGAGGTTTTTTGCAGGGAAATCCTTGTAACAGTCAGATACAGCCTGAAGGTGTAAGCTCGTGTTTTCACTTGTATTGACTTGTTATGAGATTCCAAGATTCTGTGCTGCAGAAATGGGACAGTTTGAACAGGATGATGGTCTAAAATAGCTTGCTTACATCATAGCAAATTGTTTACACCACCCAACTCTGGGTACTGAAATAACCAGTTCATCACAGAAGACCACATATGGCTGTCATGCATTTCTTTAACAAGAAAATGCAGCATCGCGAAAACAAAAGTGAAGGTAAAAGGCTTGTGCTTTCAGTGACTACATCCACTTCCTTAGGCTTTTGTATGCTGTTGCCTCAGGTTGTACATGCTTTAAGAAAGGGATTTTTTCTTCCTCCAAGCGGTGAAGTATTCCTCCACCAGATGATGAAGTATTACAGACCACTGAAAGGATCTTTTGCAGTGCTGTCAAGACAAAGCAGTTGTCTCTACATATTTATATGCAAAAAAAGAAAGAAGATATGTGAGAGGAATGTGGGCTTGGCCCCTCCATCACTGTCACTGAAACAGATATAAATCAAGTAAATGAAGTAATTAAGAGAATCATTTTCTAAAAGGGAGATATACCATGTTCAATGTCAAGAAAATGAGCTTCAAGCTGTGGTGCTTCAGCTGGTGTTAATGGATATAGAACTCGTGAAACCTCCGGGCTTACAGGAGTGCCTGCCAGCTGGGTGTGTAGCCTTTTGGCACTTTGCTACCCTCAGGATGATGGTAAGGGTTTAGCACGCAAAAGGGTAGAGCCAGCTGCATGCGTGCAGGGTAGGGCTCACGGTAAATGATTCTGTCCTAGGACACTGCACTGTCCTGACACCAAGATCTGTGGGATTCAGGAGTTCTATGGAAAAACTCTGGCTGCGAACGTATTTCAGGAGGCTGCCATGTACCCCCTATCACTAGCAACCACTGTAATCCTGGCTGTGGTCCAGCTCTTTGCATCCCTTGCGATAACATTGGATGAATACTCCCAGAGCATGGGAGGCTCAACACTAAGGAAGGGGGGAAGGAGCCAAAAAGCAAAAGCGGTCAGGAAGGGTAGTGTGATCCACAGGAGACAGTGAGGGGAAAAACACTGGGCAAGGGTCTGTAACACGTAAATTGGGCACTGGTGTAGCTGCGGTAGAACAACGCTGCACCTTGCTCTGCTGGGCAGGGCACCAACTCGCTGGGCAAATTAGAGGGAGTTCAGGAAAGAGCCACATGAATGAATAAAGGGCTGGAAGGCAGCGGACTGGAGTGTGACTCAAGGTCAGTCTGTTTATTGATGAAAAGGCGAAGGGGTGGCTCGGTCAAAATCCTTAAGTACCCAGCTGGGGAATAAATCTTTGATAATAGAGGTCCTCTTCTGTCAAGCAAACAATGCATCACCAGGAGCTAATGGCCAGAA